CCAGGACTCCTGCAAAATAGTATTCTGGTGGGGTATTTTTCCCCCTTTGAGCAGAGGAGCTTTCGGTCCCCTGGTCAGCTGTAGAGCAAGCCGGCTGTCCACGTGGCTTCTAGGATGGGAAGTGCTGCCTCCCAGCCGCTCACCCAGATAAAGGGAAGCCTGTGAGCACACAGTTTACCAGCCACTCATTCAGTTTTGAAAAACTGACAGGTCACCCTGTTTTTGCAGGAATTTTCCACACTGTGGTTCTAAATTCCTCAGAACTTCTCCAGAGAGGTTGCATAAAACCATTTCTTTCCCTCAATAACGTTGCCGTAGGTGACAGGGTTAAGTTCAGGCAACACATAATATTGGAGTCGTGGCGAGATGAACAGGGAAACCTGAGCCAAGCGTGATAAGAGCGGAAGAACAGGCCTCCTGCCCACGGGCTGGTGTGAAGGCTGTGGACTTGGCCATCTGTGGGTGGCCCTGGCAGCTGTCCCTCGTACCCACCCAGGGGGCACTTACACTCTCCCTCCTGTACACCATGCGAATGCAGCTTAGCGTGTTCCCGTAGCCCACGCCGGCCTGCAGGCGAGTCTGTAGAGAGAGGCAAGAGTGGTGAGGGGAAGTCAAGGCCTTTCACACCCCCACTACTCAAGAAGACGCTGAGCTCTGACTGTCATTCAGGCGGTGGGGCCCAGAGAGGGGAAGGCTCTGTGAAGGAAGGTCACACGGCCAGTAAGGCGGCAGGTTTCTGTCCTGGCCACACTGCGCTCTGTCCTCTGCATGCACGGCCTCCCTCTACCCAGCCACGCTTTGCTGGATTTGTCAGAAGCCCTCTTTGTCTGAGAGAAGAACAAAGGCCAGTCAGTTGTGCAAAATGGTGGTAGTTTGGGAGCGTGGGATTCTCTCGAGTACAAAAAGCTAAGCCACAACCCAAAGAAGTGCAACCATGACTCTGTCCTATCTGTTATCCATCACTTCGCCCTCCTGATGTCCCCGGGAGCCATCCTCTCTTCTCACCTCCACCACTACCACCTTGGTCCTGGCCACCGTCATCTTTCCCCTGGTCCCCTCACTCTCTTCGCATTGTGCCTTCACAACAGTCAGCCTCAGCTTTCCCAGATACGAATGCCATCACGTCACTTCTGTTTAAAGTCCTCCAGTGGCCTCGTATTAAACTTAGAATACAACCTACACTCTTCGTAAGGGTCCAGAGGCCCAGCCTGCCTTTCACTCCCGCATGCCATTCCCCTCTCCTACCCTGTGTGCCTGCCACACGGCACATTCCCAGGCCCTGGAGCACCAATTCTTTCCTGCCTCCAGACCTGTGCATCTGCTGTTCCTCGCCCTGGAAGGCTCTTCCTCCAGCTCCTGTTCATCTTTTGGGTCTGGGCTTAAATGTTGCAATTAGGTTGTCTGTTGACTTAGGGTGTTTGTGGGGCTCCACCACTCGGGCAGGGCATCTGTCTCCCCAATCCCCAGAGCCTCACACAGCCCCTGGCACAGTGGCCCCTGTGGACTGGCTAAACGAGGGCTGGATGGGGAAGAGTGGAGGCCTGTAACAGAGGCTGGCTTTGGTGACAAGCGACAGCCGTTGACAGGCACAGAGGGTCTGAATAAGTCCACAAAACTGCTTAGAACATCCCCCTGGCCTGGTCTCAGGCGTTCCCCTTCTTTTAAAATGTGCAGACCATCAACATCACGAGTCATTAGAGATACTACTTCACACCCTCTAGAATTTCTATTATTAAAAAAAAAAGTAAACAAATGTTGGAGAGAATGTGGAGAAATTGGAACCCTCATGCACTGCTGGCGGGAAGGTAAAATGGTGCAGTGTCTGTGGAAAACAGTTTGGCGGTTCTTCAAAAAGGTAAACAAAAGTTACCATATTGTTATTGCGTGCTGTCAAGTCGATTCCAACTCAGAGTGACCCTATATTTCAGAGTAGAACTGCCCCATAGGGTTTTCTTAGGCTGAAATCTTCACAGGAGTAGATCGCCAGGTCTTCTCTTCCACAGAGGGTTCAAACCACTGACCTTTCACTTAGCAGCTGAGTGCTTAACCATTGCACCACCAGGGCTCCTTAAAAATTACCATAGGACCTAGTAATCCATTCCTAGTTATATACGCAAAAGAACTGAAAGCAGGGACTCAGACACATGCCCATGAATGTTCATTGCAGCACTATTCTCAATAGCCAAAAGGTGGAAACGACCCAAGTGTCCATCAACAGATGAATGAATAAACACAATGTGGTATATACATATAATGGAATGTTATTCGGCAAAAAAAAAAAAAATTAGGTTCTGACATATGCTGAGGCATGGGTGAACCTTGAATACATTATACTGAGTGAAAGAAGTCTGACACAAAAGGACAAATCCTGTAGGATCCCACTCATCTATCCAGAACATGCAACAGCATAGAGACAGACAGTAGATTACTGGTTACCAGGGAGTGGGAGAGGAAGGGTGTGGAGTTATGGGGGGGGAGATGTGCCCCCTATAATTGGTAAATCAAAGCAAAGCACTTCCACGGCACCCACAGCATGCCAGTGCCTGAGCACAAAAGAGGCAAGAGAACCACAGGGGAGGGAGAGCGTGCCCCTGCCCCACAGAAGCCAGCATCTGGTAGGGCGCCAAGGCCCAGAGAGGCAGGCTCACACTCGGCACAGAGACCCTGAGCTCAACTTTGTAGACCTGTGGAGAAGGTCCTGGGAGCCCACATTAGAAAAATGAGGGTCTTTGAGGTGAACCTCCTGGGTGATTTTGATTTTCTGTATTGAACTTTTCTGCATTTCCTAGCTTTCCTATAATAAAAGGTGTTACTTTCATTATTATTTTTAGCTTACGTAATTTTAAAAATAATTTTTAAGTACTCAAGTAATATGGAAATGAAGTTGTTAGTTGCCATCGAGTTGATTTCAACCAATGACCTCCCCATGTGTTCTTTTAATTAAAAAAAAATTCAGCATGATGTATAAGGCTGAAGGCCCCTTTGAATTACCCGATCCTGAACCCCTCTCCCTTAACCTGCCCCACCCTGAGCTAACTATGGTTAATAGCATGGCTAACAGTTTGATAGGCATCCATCTAAATGTGTTTATAAACATATACAGCCATAGAAAACGTACGTGGGGTATATTTTATAGGTTGTCGTTGTGCGCTTTCGAGTCAATTCTGACTCATAGAAACCCTGTAAGACAGAGTAGAACTGCCCCTATAGGGTTTCCTAGGCTGTATTCTTTACGGGAGAAGATTGCCACGTCTTTTCTCCCGTGGAGCAGCTGGTGGGTTCAAACCGCACACCTTTCGGTTAGCAGCTGGGCGCTTAACCACTGCCACCAGGGCTCATGGTATTTTATAGGTGGGATGTATCAATGGTATCATATTGCGCAAAAGCATTACTTTTATAATCTGAGAGATGTATTTACTCATTCATTCATTCAACCAATATTTATTGAAGAAAAAAACACAACAGCTGCGGTGAAGTCGACCCTGACTCGTGGTGACTCCATGTGTGTCAGAGCAGAACTGCACTCCAAAGGGTTTTCATGGCTGATTTTTGGAAGTAGATCATCAGGCCTTTCTTCTGAGGCACCTCTGGGTAGACTCAAACCACAATCTTTTGGTTAACAGCCACAGATATTAACCGTCTGTACCTATTTATAGCAGTCACTGTTCCAGGCTCAGAGAATTCAGCTGTGAGCAAAACAAAGTCCCTGCCCTCATAGTCCTTACAATCTAATGGGGGTCAAGTGAGATAGTCAATAAGAAATGATTCCCAAGTAAATACATACATCAGACGATGACAACCAAGGAGGAAGATAAGGGATGGGTGGCGGGAAGGAAACTGTGATTTTAAATTGGGTGGTGGAGAAGCTCCCTGGAAGATGCAGCCAGATGAGAACTGGGCCTTCCTGGTCTCCTTGTTAAGCAGAACCACAGAGGTCTGCCTTGGAGCAGGGGAGGTTCCCCAACCGGGACAATGATGTGGCCCTGGGGAGGGGGTGGTGCAGGTTTTTCTCTCTGCCCCGTTTAAGGCTGGTATGAGGCCAAACACTCTCTCCCTTGGGGCCCCAGCTCTGTCTGGGCTGCTCCTGGGTAACAAATCTACAAAATGGTTAACCCCTCCCCAGGAGGGATCAAGTTCCCACCAAAGGTTGAATGATCAGTCACTCAAGCAAATGGTACATGAGGGAACTCAATCCAACAGCAAAACCCAGATCACAGAATAATTTTCAAAGCAGTAGAGCTAAGGTCTGTCAGCCTTCCCGAGTGCCTTGGGATGCTAGCACTGAGGCCAGCAGCAAAGCCCAGGTCTAAGGGTCTCCTATAAGCTCACTGGATGGTACAAACAGTTTGTACTTGACTACTAACTAAAAGATTGGTGGTTTGAGCCCACCCAGGGAAGCCATGGAAGAAAGGTCCTGGTGATCTGCTTCCATAAAGATTGCAGCCAAGAAAACTGTATGGAGCAGTTTTACTCTGTAACGCATGGAGACACTATGAGTCAGAATTGACTCAACGGAAGCAGGGTTTTTTGTTGTTGTTTGTTTATAGGGCTTCCAATCACAGCTGGAGCTGGTATACAGTATATATCTACTGCATACTTGGGAAAACACTGGCATCTCACATAACTTACCTCACTGAAACTCACAAATGCTATGAGGCAGGGATACGCTCCCTACTTTACAAATGAAGGACAAGTGCTCAGGGGCAGAGTAGGAGAGGCGGCTGGAGCTCAATGCTGAGAGCCGGGCCACCGCCTGGTCCAACCCAGAGGCCCCACTGAGCTGACAGAGCAGGTGTGTCCTGGCTGGCATGGGCCAATATGCATGCTCAAGGCTGGACTGGACAGTCAGTGGGTACCCTGACATGGTGGGGATCGTGCTGGATCAAGGCTAGAAGCCCCACTGGGGTAGTCATGAGAGGTAGGCAAACATTCCACAAAGCCAGCCCATTGCAAGCCAGTCTGGCTGGTCCAAATGCAGCTGAGCCTTGATCAGAAAACCTGGCCATGCTGAATCAGGCATTGTTGTTCTTGTTAGCTGCCATTGAGTTGGCTCCCAACTCCTGGCAACACCATGCACAACAGAATGAAACACTGCCTTGTTCTGCGCCATCCCTCGTGATCTTTATGGATCAGACCATTGTGATCCATAGGGTTTTCACTGACTGATTTTAGAAGGAGATCTCCAGGCCTTTCTTCCTAGTCTGTCTTAGTCTGGAAGTTCTGCTGAAATCTGTTCAGCATCATAGCAACACACAAGCCACCACTGATACAGGTGGTGGCTGTCCATAAGGTACATTGGCCAGGAATCAAACCCAGGTCTCCTGCATAGAAGGCAAGAATTCTACCATTGAACCATCAGTATGCATCAGGCATAAACCTATAAATACAGCAGCTGTGCCAGGAGCCAGGATAGAATCCTCATCCCCAGATCACCTGCCACTGAGCAGCCATGGAACTCAATGGCTGGCTCCTCCCACCTCTGACAAGGCAGCTGAGGGCAAGAGGAGGAGCCTTGGATCTGGGGTCAGCAGTCCAGAGTCTTTCTAGCTTTACTCTTCCACAGGAGTTCTCTGGTACCTCAGACAAGTCACTCATTTGCCTCCTCCCAATCCAGAGTGTCTGTCCATCAGGGCAAGAACATCTCGCTCATTGTTCTATCCCCAGTGTGTGCACAAGAAAATGCTAAGTGAACAGTCTTCACAACAGCCTCTCCAGGTAGGTGCTATTTGCCCATTTTAGAGATGAGGAAACTGAGGTTCAGGCAGGTTAAGTACTAGGCCGTAGGTCAAAGAAGAGTAAGTGGTGAGGCTGGGAGGCTGGGCCTGGACTTCGGGTTATTCTGACTCCAAAGCCCTGGCTCTCACCTTTCTTAGTGAACAGGGACTCTAGAAAAAATGTCAGCCAGAAGGAAGAAAGAGGATGTACCAGGGTGACCCAAAGCCCTTGGGCCACACTCCTGGGCCAGACCCCAAGGGACAACCTTGTAAGCTGCTATCACCAGGCCAGTGCTTCCAGCAGGGAGGCTCTCAGGATAAACAGAGACTAGATTTTGTGCCAGGAGGTGTTCCCTCCAGGGGCTCAGGGGACAGAGTAGATACAAGAAAGAGAGCCCCAGTCTTCTCAGATGGTCAGACCTGGGGTGGCCGGGCTTGCCTGTGCACATGGGGAGGAGGCTCTGCTAAAGCCACAGGAGGAAGCTGGCCTCCAACAAGCACCCCAGCTTCTTGCCCAGGCTGGGTATGAGGGAATGACACTCTAGCAGGAAGAACTAAAGGCTGTCTTTGTCAGAAACAGGGATGTAAGGCCCAGGGCAGCATAGACTAAACTTGCTTTGTCCACCACTGACTCCTTAGCATCCTGCACTATGCCTGGCACAGATAAGGCATCCAGTATGTATCTATCATATGAGGGAAAGAGAGGGCCTGTATGAGGGGTGCAGTCCCTAAGTTAACACACTCAGCTGATAACCAAAGATTGGAGTCTTGAGGTGCCTCAGAAGTAAGGCCTGACAATCTACTTCTAAAAAGTCAGCCACTGAAAATCTATGGAGTGCAGTTCTACTCTGACATACCTGGGGTCACCGTGAGTTGACTTGACAGCAACTTGTACTGCTGTGAGGGGTGAGAAGGAACTAGGAATATCCTTCACTGTCCTGTCAAAAGCTAGAATTCCCACCATCAAAGCTGCTCTGCTGGTTCACATGATTTCTAGAAAGATCTTGGTAAAATGGGAACTGGGTAGCCTCATTTTGAAAATGATGATAATGAAAAGCATAGTAATATTGTAGTAGAATCTCTCTTATCTAGTGCAATCAATTTCTAATCCAAGACATACTCATTCTGCATAGTTGGTTAACTGGAAAAGGGGAAAAATGAAAAGTGATATACGAATCCTTAAACCTTTTCCTAAAAACACCACTGTACACTCATTTGCTAATCTTCCTTTCCTTGGAACATCCCTGTTGATTTTCTTGGGTAAACTATACTCACGAAGTATTGTTTACAATGCCTAATCTCAGTTTTTCCTGTTAAGTAGGAAGAACTAAAAGAAGATATTTGTCATTTGTGAAGCCATCTAAGTAAAGACTGTAAGTAAAAATTTTGATCCCTCTGTAGTGGATTGAATTGTGTCCCCCTGAAAGATATATCCAAGTCCTAACCCTCCTGCCCCCTCCTCCTGTACCTGTGAATGTCACCTTATTGGGAAATAAGGTCTTTGCAGAAATAAGGATTTCAAGATGAGATCATCTAGATTTAGGGTGGACCCTAAAGCCAATGACTGGTGTCTCATAAGAGAAGGAGAGGGAAATCTGACACAGAGACAGAGAGGGAAAGGCCATGTGAAGAAAAAAGCAGAGATTGGAGGGTGGCCACAAACCAAGGAACGCCAAGGAATGCCGGTGGCCACCAGAAACTAGGAGAGAGGTATGGAATGGATTCTCCCTCAGAGCCTCCAGGAGGAACTAATCCTGTGGACACCTTGATTCCAGACTTCTGGCCTTCAGAACTATGACAGAACGAATTTGTATTATTTTAAGCCATAAAGTTTGTGGTAACTTGTTACGGCACCCTAGGAAACGAATACATCCCCTCAGTTGTTTACAGTTAAATCTCTCACACCTAATTCTGTAATAATTTGTTACCGGCTCACTTTTACCAAGTGAGCTTAGTTCTAGAAAAACAATAGCCCTCGTGCGTGCGCTAAACTACGGCACACGGAGGTGTATGTGTGGAGGGCAGCTCCATGGTCAGCTGTGGTGAGGAGGCGCTATATATGGCTCTGAGCCCTGATGACAACTGGGAACAGGCATAGGGTGGGGGCGGGGCCAAAAAGTACCCCTTTTCAGCATCCCACTCCTCAGCACTTCAACTTGTTGTGTGATCTGAGATGAGCCCCCCTCCCTTTCTGGGCCTGAGTTTCTACATCTGTAGAACAAGGGGGATGGGTGATCTCAAAGCCAGATGGCCCTGTCAGCTCCAGAGTACTCAAACCCCAAGCACTAGAAGATGAAATGGCTTCCCATTCCCAACCCAAGTCCAAACTCCTAATCTGACATGTAAGGCCTCTGAGCACTGAGTGCTGACTGACATTTCTTGGAGTCTGACCCACAGCTGCTGTCAGACACCCAATACCTCAGCAAAACCTGGCCATGCTGGCCCATCCCAAGCGTGGCCCCCATCCAGCTTCCCCACCTCAGTGCTTTTGCCCATGCTGTTCTCCGTGCCTGGGTATCTTTTCTATCACCTGACACCCAGCCTTAAATTTTTGCCTCAAATGCCACCTCACACTTGAAGCCTTTCATGATTCCTGAGCTCCACAGGGACTTGGAGGAGGACACTCATCAGCCTTTTGGCCCCTCCCCACCAGTTCATGAGAACCTGGAGGCAGGGATGAGCATTCACAAAAACAAAATCACTGCCAAGTAATGAAGGTAGGGCACCCTGACCTCCACAGGCTGGCCACAGACAGCCTGTCTGGGCTGGAGACTCTCTGGGGAACCAGAAACAGCAGGTACACTCCTGGAGGTAGGATCACTTCAGGCCCCTTTCTAAGAGGCAATGGAAAATGTGGTACTTTACCTTGACTGTGTCCAGAGGGTGACCAACGATGACGCTGGCTGCACCTGCGGATGAAAGAAGAACACTTGATCACTCAGCCCCTGGCCTCCTGGCTTGCACCATTTGGTTCATGGGACAGGACAGAAGACTCAGGAGCACCCATTAATTCACTCAGTCAATGGCCGGTCACTGGGGACCCACAACATACTAGGCAACAACCTAGGTACCAAGAAAGGTAGAGAAAATCCAGTAAAACCTGGGTCCTGCCTCAAGAAGCAAGCAGGCCAAAAGAGGGAAGTGAAGAGAAAACTCAGAAACTGTTCCATTACCTGCAGGTTACTTAACTTCTCCATGCCTACTTTTGTGTGTATATTGAGTACGAAGCCGGCATTGTAATAGCGCCTACCTCATTTTTCCATTGTAAGGATGAAATGAGATAACTGATGTAAAGCACCTAGCGGAGAGCCTGGCAGGTATAGGTTGCTCAAAAATGGGTGCTGCCACTGCTGGGTTTGTTTGTTTTTAAGAGGACATATTGGAAAAGGTGACGGACACTCTGGATTTTTTCACAGACAAAAATGCCCATCCACACATGTACTCACAAATCCTGTACGATTCTGGAAGGAAGCAAGGCCACCCAGACATCACCCAGATTAACAAGACCTTGTTATAGAAGCCAGCGATTGTGAGATAGAAATAGTAGCTTCTCTTCAAGAAAATTCTCCTTCTAGCTCTTGAGGAAGGAAATGTCTGTCGGCAAAGGTGATTTAGTGAGGCAAGGGCAGCTAAAGGGGCCTGGCATATTAGGTATGTACAGGGGACAAAGAAACCAGCTAATTTCAGAACAAATTTCCCCTTGGTTTAAAACTTCCAGATCCCTCTTACCCCCTCCTTCCCACGGAATTGGGCAGAGGTAGACAGGAGATGGGCAGTAGGAAGCTGGAGCTTCCTGCCGGCCAGAAGGCTCACTCTACAGGGACCCCTCACGGCAAGGGAAGGACTGAGCTCTGGTTTCCTGGGCTCTGACTGCTTCACCCAGAGTGAGTGCGGGCATCCTTTAACCCAGGGCAGCAGCCCCAGATCCACCCTGGAGCCAACTATCTTTCTGCTCACTCATTAACCAGCCCATCTGAAAGTGAGGGATTCGAGATAAACACGGGATTTTCACATCAGTGATTCCCAGACCTTGGGTCCTCAGACGCTAGTAAAATTTCAAACCAAATGTGGAGGATGTAAAAGTGAAATGTGTCATGCAAGGTCATTAAGAAAGAAAACAGCTAATATCTGGCTATAGATGAGCACAGTGGTAAAGATGGCAGACTGTGGTGCCAAGCTGCTAGATGCATGGCCTTAGGCAAGTCACTGCATTTCTCTACATCTCCATTTCCCCATCTGTAAAATGGTCATGTAACGATAGTACCTACCTCATTGAAGTTGTTTTAATAATTTTAAAAAAGTAATATACAGAGGCAGGGCCAAGATAGTGGAGTAGTCAGACGCTTCCTGTGGTCCCTCTTACAACAAAGATCTGAAGAAACAAGTGAATCGACTATATATGACAATCTAGGAGCCCTGAACATCAAACGCAAAGTTGAGGAATCAGACTAAGTGGCAGGGGGAGGGAGAGACGGTTCAGAAGCAGCGAGGAGTTGTCAGACCTGACCTGGCAGGAAGATTAGAGAAGAGCACGATGACAAATTTAACAGGCTGCAAGAGCCCATAGAGAGACAGCAAACAGAAAATTCAGAAGATTAACAATAAAATTTCAAAATTAGACAACTCAATAGAAAGTCATAGGAGCAGAACTGAGGCAATGGAAGTCAGAATTAGTGAGACTGAAGATAAAGCACTCGACACCAAGTTATTTGAGGTGAAAGAATTTTAAAAAATGAAGAAACCCTAAGAATTATGTGGGACTCTATCAAGGGGAATAACCTACGAGTGATTGGAGTACCAGAATGGTGGGAGGGGGATAAGAGAAAATACGGGGAGAATTCTTGAAGATTTGTTGGCAGAAAACTTCCTGCTATTGTGAAAGATGAGAAGAAATCTATCCAAGATGCTCATCAAACCCCACGTAAGGTAGATCCCAAAAAAGAGTGACCAAGACATATTATAATCAAACTTGCCAAAACCAAAGATAAACAGAGAATATTAAGAGCGGGTAGGAATAAACCAAAAAGTCATCTATAAAGGAGAGTCAATAAGACTAAGTTCGGACTACTTAGCAGAAACCATGCAGGCAAGAAGGCAATGGGATGACATATATAAAGCCTTCAAGGAACAGCCAAGAATTATATATCCAGCAAAACTGTCTCTCAAATATGATGGAGAAATTAGGGCATTTTCAGATAAATAGAAGTTTAGGAAATTTGCAAAAACCAAACCAAAATTACAAGAAATACTAAAGGGAGTCCTCTGGTTAGAAAATCAATAACATTAGATAACAACCCAAGACTAGAACAAAGGACAGAACAACCATATATCAACCCAGATAGGGAAGTCACAAAAATAAATCAAAGCTAAAATGCTGAAAGTAGGGAAACAGAGATGTCAATATGTAAAAGACGACAACATTAAAACAAAAAAGAGGGACTAAAAAATATAGTCATAGATATTTCATATGGAGAGGAAGACAAGGCAATATAAAGAAATAAAAGACTGGTTTAAACTTAGAAAAATAGGGATCAATATTAAGATAACCACAAAGGAAACTAACAATCTTACACATCAAAATAAAAAACAAGAAAAACATAAAGACCCAGCAAATACAAAATCAACAACAATGAAAAAGATGAAAAGAAAATACATAAAGAAAAA